GGTGCGGGCCCCAGTACCTATATATGTGGGTACTAGCATGTGGCACTTTAAATGAATCTACTGTGCAGTAATTGCTGTGCATGTGTAGCCAGTGACACTTTACTGTGCAGTAGACTAGGGAGAGCAGGGTCTGACAGTAAGGAGCTGGCAAGAGGCTGCTGGGAGGGTAGCAGAGAGCAAAAAAAAAAAGTTGGAGGGTAGCAGAGAGCAAAGGGGTTACCTGTCCCCCAGATTTATTTTTCCTGTTGTAGCAGTGGCAGGGGGACAAATTCAAGGCAAACCTCTAGTAGTTAGATGCTATATGTGGAAAATTATAAAAAATTTAAAAATTTTCCATATATAAAATCTAATTTTGGGGGGTCATCTTATAATCAGGGTCCTCTTCAATTCAAGTAAATACAGGTTTGTTTTTTTAAAGAAGCTTTTTGGCTTGTTGCAGACTTGTTGTGCAGGGGGTCAGACTAGGTATTCAAAACAGTACTTCTGGCTTTATAAGCTAAGAACATTACTGGATTCTTTTTAATATTTAAAACATATGCCCCATTATTAAAATCATAGAACTCATGACAATATGGCTTATTTGTCTGTATGCCCATAACATCTAGCCCAAACCATCCTTACAGTCTTAATAATATTGTCTAAATATACTAAAAGTAAAATGTGTGATTTTTGACAGGGACAGTGTGTAAATGTTTGAGACGACTAATTTATGAAAGTCAGCAAAGTAAGCCATAACCATTAAGGGCTTAGTTCTATAAGGTGTTAAACACACTATTCCTGATCCAATAAATGACTTTTCATGAGCTTAAAATTAGCATGTTCTTAAGTGCTGTTCTAAATCAGGGCTAGAGTGCTTGGCATCTTCCAGGATTGAACCCCAAATACTATCCCAAAGAAGTATTTAAGCCATTTCATATTTTCATAGTTGGTAGGGTTGGAAGGGACCTGAGTAGATCATCAAATCTGACCCCTCCATGGCAGGAAAAACTACTGGGGTCAAACGACTCCAGCAAGGTATTCATCTAGCCTTGTCTTAAAGACCCCCAGGGTAGGAACCAGCACCACTTCGCTTGGAAGTTGGTTCCAGATCCTAACTGCCCTGATCATGAAGTAGCGCCTCCTGATATCTAGCCTGAATCTACCTTCT